GGGGGGGGGGAGCCTGTAAGCACTGCTCAGGCACTCCCAGATGTAAAGGAACCTTTCCTGAGGGCTAAGGTCCTGTATTAGCTGGAGAAGGTGGGAGCCAGGAAAACAATTACATTGAATATGACCCAAAGGCCACTATGGCCTGAGTTACCCTGTCCCTTTCTTCACTCCACCCCATCCCTGCAGCTCAACAAGAAGGGAAGTTTTGACCAGTGGCCGGTGTGGCCTAGTGGTTGAGCATTGAAATCAATAAAAATATATTTTTAAAAAAAAAGAAGGGAAGTTTTTCCTAGAACACCTTCATGTGGGGGGCTTTAGAAGGGCTGCTGTCCAGAGAGACAACAAGGAGCAGAGGGTAACAGTGTGGGCTTTGATTTGGGGCTACTTGGGGGCACATTTGGCCTCTACTACTTAGTTACTATGTCACCTCAAGTTTGTTCTTGAATTTCTCTGTGCCTCAGTTTCTTTTTCTGTAAAATGGAGATTATAATAATAGCATCTAACTTGAAGGATTATTGGGAGGATTAACTAAGTTAAGGCACATCAAATACTTAGCCTAAATCCAGATACCTAGTCCTAGGTTACTAGTATGAAATAAGGAAAGGGGGAGCCACCAAAAGTAGAAGTGTGGCCCCAGCCGGGTGGCTCAGTTGGTTGGAGCATTGTTCCATACACCAAAAAGGTTGTGGGTTCGATTCCCAGTCAGGGCATGGACAGGAGGCAACCGATCTCTCTCTCTCTCTCTCTCTCTCTCTCTCCCTCTCTTTCTCTTTCTTCTCTCTTTCTTTCTCCTTCCCTCTCTCCTGCTCTCTAAAATCAATGAACATATCCTCAGGTTAAAAAGAAAAAAAGTAGAAGTGTAGTTGACAAGGGGCTCAGCACATTTGTAAACCTGTGACTACAGCTACTGAAAGAGGAGCTCTGCTAAACTCACTGGTACCAGGAGAGACAAGGGTGTTGGATCCCATCTCTTCTACCTCCGGGGAATTAGGCTTCCCAAGGGGGCCACTGAGCAGAGAGCCCTGTGGTTCAGGTTATGAGTTTAGAAACATACTTTTGCCAATTCTCATATAGATAGTCAGGTCTGGAGGATCAAGGCATGCTTATTTCACTCACAAAGAAACAATTTATAAGCCAGAATGCGGCTTCTCACGTTTCCAGTGGGATCCATTTTGGCCCAAGATCAGGAACCCAGTTTTCCGGGCAGCACACGCGGAGTAGCGGCAGGGGAAGGAGCGCCACGTGGTGGATACACAGGATACTGAGTAAGCCAACCTCGGAAACCATGCGCAAACTGGCCCTTTGGAAACAGTGGGAAGTTGGTAGTAACTTAAAGGATTGTTTATCATGGAACAAAGCCTGGTGATCGATTTCTACAGACAGGTCCGAGGGAGGAGAGTGCTAGAGTCAGAACTTTGTTCCCTGGAAAGTGCTGGAGAAATGCTGACATACTCCTCCTTCCCAGCCCTCTTTTTTAGGGGCTCCATAGTCTCCCTGCCTTTCTGTTTGTCTTGTTGTCTTTCACTTTCTCAACTTGCAATACTCAAGTTAATAACTTATTTCCAAGGATTGTATCTGTTAATAATCAGATTTTATGTGTTTATATTTCAAACTATCCATACAAAATTCAAAAGTAAAACAAGTGTCAAGGGAGTTCTCACCCCTGTCCTCCAGCCATGCAGGTCCTTTCCTGGAAAGCAACCCACACCATCAATTTCTTAGGTATTTTCCCAGAGATAGTCTGGGCATATATAGGCAAGTATGGTACATTAGTTTTTCATGTTTATCTTTATTTTTGCCCAAATGGTAACACACTTGGAGGAATTTAATCACTCCAGTAAATCTTCTTTCAATCAGAATTTCTTAGCCATCTCTCTGTCAAGGATTGGTGGAAGAGAAAAGAAGTTGTAGGCAGCAGCCCAGGGACTGCCCACCTTCTCCAGCCTTCACCATCCCCAGAGAGGGATGTGAGGAGTGTGTGCGGGTTGTCTTTGGGAAGTGTTGTGGTGAGAATCAATGCTCCAATCACGCTAAAGTTTAACATTCTCTGAGACATTTAACTCCATCTGTCATTGTCACTTATTAGGCAGCCCATGGAACCCTGTAGTGCAGTTGATCCTTGAATAGCATGGGGTTAGGGGTGCCGACTTCCCACGCAGTCAAAAATTCACATATAACTTTGACTCTCCACAACTTAACTGCTAATAGCCTACTGTTGATTGGAAAC